GTTTGGAGTATATAAATGAAGAGAGAGGATTGGGTTTTAGAAAAATCATATCTTTCTCACATTTGTTTAGGTTAAAAAATAGGGTTAAAGTGGTTAGGAGGTTAGAAGATACTTTTTGAAACCTTAGATTTATTAATATATGAAACCTAAAAATAAAGAGCATGAAGATATTTTTCTTAAAAGACACTCTCCATTAAAAAAATACACTTTACATTTTAAATTTCATTTTTATATTCATATCATCTTGACCTAGATCATCAAGTCCTCACAAATCTATCTTGAAAATGAATTTTAGAGAGCGCACGCATGTGTACATAGGAGTCGGCTGACATAACAACCCCATCCCACAATAACTACCCTTGAGCGATATAAACGATTTTGTGGCAAGCGTCCCATACATGCTCTCATGGGATCAAACCATATTATAACTCCCAAGGGGCAGGAACCTACTGCATTTTATTGATAGAAAGATTAAGGATCCACCATAAAAACATATTTAAGGCATAAAATTTTAATGGAAAAAGTTTATATAGAGCCGAGGCTCTAAACAATCAAATTAGTGCCCATCTCAAAAATTTTACTAGAAAAGGTTGTTTTGATGCCCAAATGTCCTAAAAAATGATCACCTAGACATAAAGATGCATGTACATGAGAAAAAAAAATGGATTTCAAAATTTGAAAATAATGCATCTTGTAACACAGTTTTGAACCATCAATTTTCAAGTTTTTATAGATCTACTCGATCTACACTATGTTTGAAGCTTCAAATCTTCTAATTAAGTATGAAAATATATTTTAAGGCTATCACAAAAATTTCCAATAGTAAAACTACATTTCTCAACACTAGTTGAAGGTGCACTTTACTTTGTTTAAAGTCTGGGCTCTATACAAACTGCACCCAATTTATATTGTCATTTTAAACATCCAAAATAGTGTATGTATCAAAGGGAACACGCACTTCATTTCTTTTCTCTCATAATAATGCAATATTATACTATTAGTTCAACCCAACCTTCTAATTTTAAATATATAAGTACAATATGATACACATTACATTATTGAAATTCAAAGCAATATCACACTACTGAATTCTCACCTTTTTCTTCTTTTTTTTTTATCTTTGGAGCTCTTAATAAATAACGTAACCTTATGTTTTTCCTATTAATATAAACAAAAGACGATAAACCTAAGTGGTGTTTTGTATATAATAGATCTAGTAGATTTATACACCACCAGTGTGGTTGACAGTCAAAATAAAAAATTATGAGGCCTGAGATTAACTCAAAATTTTAAATTAGTAAACCAAAAACTTTTGATATTTCCTTTAAAAGCTATTGTTTCAGGCTGGACCACATTTCTACAATATGTGATCAAAGGTATAAAACATCCATCTTAAAGATGGATGCAAATAGATGAAAAATTGGAAATAACGGTCAAATGCTTTCTTAATATAATTATTATTTCTAGTTTTCAAATTTTATTTATTTATTATATTCATGATCCCCATATTAACTCTAAAAATTAAGATCAAATTATATTTAAAAAATATATTTATTGTCGAACCCACATTTCTACAATACACTTCAGGGGTCCTTTTAAGCAATCACCACTGATAAAATTCAAGATGCACCTTACCTCTACAGCTACGGACTACGGATGCGTCCGTATGGCAACTACACCCTTCAAGTAACCACCGCTGCACAATGAAATCGTCCTAGTATTACTCATGATTTTGTGCTACCGCGGGAGCAAACTTCCCATTTACTCCCTCAGGCAAAAACCATACGAACTTTTAAGATCTTGAAATTCATATATTATTGTCACGCGAGCGCATACATAAATAAACCTTTAGCATTTCTCTCCTTAAGGTAGTGACACGTGAGAGCTGGAATTTAATGATTGCTTAAATTCCTATTGTGCTCCTTGTAGGACTGGCCTAGGCGTGGCCCGGTCCAAACCAGGCCAAAGAGGCCCATCTCGGGCTTAGGCCTAGACCTGACCAGACCTGAGAGGCCCGACCTTGGCCCTCTTAAGGCTGGGTTGGGCCCGTCCCAGCCAACTAGGCTGGAAATCAATGGACATACACCGTATAATTAGCACCAAACCAAAAATCATCCATGCAAACGACAGAATCCAAAATGTGGTGACCAAAGGAAAATACTACGAATCCAAAAGGTCAATCATAAGAGGCGTGTAAAGCCCAAAGAGTAACTATCTATCAAAATCCAGGGCTATGGGATCAAGAACGATGGGATGAGGCGGTCTCCTGGTCATCTGCTCTTGGTCGTGATGTACTCTCCACCCGACAAGACCCTCCTGCTCCTACTCTAAAGAACAACCAGATAGGGCTAGGCTCTGTGTGAGCTCCAAAGGAGGAGGTATAATCGGAGAGGGGTAGGACGCTCCAATAGCCAAAGCCATCTCCAAGGCAATCACGAAGACGCCTGCACTGCTCGCATGCTCATGTAAGGGATGGTCCTGGACCCAAAAAAAAAAAAAAAAAAGGGCTTCCATCAGTCCGCACCCCTAAAATTAAAATTCGAGTCACTTCCTCTAAAGTGATGCAATCTGGGAAGGTCCCGGTCTCAGGGTGGAACCAATGGACTAAGGCACCGATAAGCGCCATACCAAAGGGGAAGGCATCGATCCAACAAACCTCCCATACCTCTATATCCACGCACTCCCTAATCAACCTGGGAGGCAGAACCCTAGCCCGCCGATGGACTCCATACAGATGACTAGTAAAAGAGAGAGGGGTAGGCTGAAGCAATAGGAAAATGAGAATCAAAACCAGGGTCCCATCTCCAACTAAGTTGGTGACAGGGAAGAATGAAAGTGAAAGCCCAATCAATACTCATGAAGTCAATCCACCCCCGAATTCAGGGGTAGGACGAACAAAGGAGCAGTTAAGTCAACATATGAATCCATCCGTGACGTATGTCGAGGAATGCCCACTTTAATATGCCTCAAATAGGGACAGTCCTGATCCAACGGTCATCCAAAACCCAAATAGAGAAACCCAAGCCCAAGATCATTCTTGGGGTCGAGGGAAAAATGTAACTCAGGAAATTTATACAAATAGGCCAGGAGCACCTAAAACGTCAACGCTATTCGGAAATACACCACTCGCAGGGCCACTGGTGGCATTCCCATGGACGATCGTGGCTCATCACCGGAGGATGTCCAAAATGGGCCCAACTCGTCTGAGGCACCCTACGAGCCATAGCCTTGGGCGCCAGTCGAAGCCAACGCCATTCCCATTGGCGATGACAGTCCGACATCAAGAAATTCCGAGCAGGCAGGTACCACCTGAATGGCAGCCAGAAAGCCCACCAAGTTGGGCGGAAATCTCAACACCGACAATGGGAACATCGGGGTTGCCACCTCCGACAGCCTCTGGCCACTTTTGACGGAAACGGAAATAGCAAATCTGGCAAACCCAAATTTCTAAAACCAAAAAAATAGCTCATTAAATTTGGGGATTTCGATCCCAAAAGAATCACAATGCCCCAAGATCCCTGGATCCACAAGAAATTTCAAAATAATAGGGGAAAAATCGGATGATTCGCAAGTTCGCATCAAATGAAGATAAGGTTTCCAACATACTTTATTCGTTCTCAAACAAGCTCCTATACGACGCCCTTCAAACACCCAAGGACTTTCCGACCCCTCCTCATCCAACATCGCTGCAACGCAAACAAAATGGTGGTCCCTAAGCTTGACTTTGGGCGGGGCTAAAACTCCAACGACTTTTGGAACTCTGGTATAGAGAGAGAGAAATGGGCATGGGACAACCCTACCAAAAATTTAGAAAAGGCCACTAAGGTTCCAAATGAAGGAAGGATGAAAAATGAGGGTGAGCTGGGGGTTTTGTAAAGGCTCGACACAGGTTTAGCCGTAGCACGGTTCGAAACGTCGCTGAAGGCGTTCCAGTGCCGCTAGACATCGGTTGGCCAGATGCCCCCAAAAGGGAGCAGAAAACAATCCGAAGATTTCGTGGGCCGCAGGGACACGTGTACGTGCTCTAGGAGCACCCGGTTCGAGTAATTGGCAGATGATATAAACATACATATATTCGAACACCCAAGAGATTGAGATCGCAGGAATTTTAAATCACTAACCAAACTCCTTCATTCAAAGAACCCTTTTATTCAAAGGAAAGAAACCATCATGGGATCAATACCACATTCAAGCGAGACAAATGGCTCAGGCACAAAAACAAGAAAATCCTCAGAAACCATTCTTTGTGAGATCCTGTTGTCTCTTGGCTAGTTCTAACCATTCTTAGTGAGATCATGTTGTCTCTTGGCTAGTTCTTCGTATAACATCGATAGAACCTCTATAATCACCAAGCTCATCAAATCATGAGGAAGATGAATTATGAGCCAATGACCAACCAAGGGTTGAAAGATGACAGAGGGATGATTGCTTTATTCAAAGCCGTTTAGATAGCTGCTGCTCAGTATGACACAAGAAAGGGAGTCGAATATGCCAGAGTCCCTCACTCCTCTGCCTAGCAACATGAGACATGCATTTCTCTCTAAATTAGGTTCTCATCACCATGCACACACTACCACCACAGTCTCGGAGGAATGCTCCCAGGTCTTCGTGTATGACCTTAAATCACACTACCCTTACGGTCCCGGCAGCCTTACCTTAAAAGTTGCCTCTTCGGACATGGCAAAAACCCCAAAGCGCGTTACGGGTAAAAAAAGTCCAAAAAAAAAAATAGAAAAAGAAAAAATGACAAGGCTCGATAGCACCATCAGCTATCGTGAGTAAAAGATGCTATGGGCAAAAGCACCACAAAAAAAAAATCTCTCACGGGGTTTTGCGAAAATCAGAAATGGCGCATACCCTAAGGGCTTGAATGAAACCTGAAAGGGCATTTAAATCAACAGCACGGGGAGGGCAAATGTGTCCACAAGCAGGGACCTCAAAAGACGATAATTAAAGGCGAAGGAATGCAAACCGAAAAAGCAAGAGAAGACAAATTAATCTTAGTAAAAAAATGTGGTATTTCATTCCATCAGGATCGTCGGAATTCAAGTACAAGTGAAGGCAAATTAATCTTAGTAAAAAAATGTGGTATTTCATTCCATCAGGATCGTCGGAATTCAAGTACAAGTGAAGGCAAAAGGTGCTAAAGAAAGATGACAGGGCGAGAGCTCCTAGAAGCAATAAATAATCTTATTAATTTTTGCTCTCGCAGCCTCCATACGTGTGATGGCCTTTTGCGCGCGCTCCTTGAGGTCGGTCACTTCTTGAGCAATTCGAGCCACGGAGGTAGTCCCTGACTCGATGCTGCGATCGAACCCTGATAGCTCAGCAGTCAGGACCTGATTCTCCGCCCTCCAGCAGTTCGTCTCCTTCTCAAGCTCGTTAAATTCGCTCGTCAGCCTCAAGATTTTCGCCTTCAGGTCTCTCAGCCTGGCCAAATGGGTCGTTCCCTGCTTGTTAAACTCGGATTTCTGGGCAGCCAGAGTAGCCCTCCTCTGCACGCATGCATCCACATCCTTGCAATGCTGCGTAAGTGAAGCCTCTAAGGAGGCCAACTGAACGCCCTGTAGCTCGTTAACCTCCACCTCCTTCCTCAGAGCCTCTATTCTCGACTCCTCTAGCTCCTTCAAGAGGTTGTCAAAATAGGAGAAAACCTCCTTTTCACCATCCAGGGTACTCAGAGCGAAAGCACAACCACGAAGCTTAATAATTTCAGGGCCGAGCTCCACAAGGGGTCGCCCTTTCAATAGCAGAAGACCCGATCGTAGCATACCTACGACCATGGTAGACTTCACACTGAAGATAGGTCTGACAATCGGTGCACTGGGAACTGAAGTCACCTCAGCTGGAGCAACAATGGCAAGAGAGGTAGACGTCTCTGGCAGCGCCTCAGCAAAGCCCTCGTTAAGAGACCCTTCTGTCTCTGAGCAAGACTCAACATCCGATGACATAAAAAGCAGGGCTTCGGCCCCACCATTGGTGTCAAAAGGAGCAGTTACCACAGGCTGCTCAGGCGTAACATCAACGACGGGATCTCTCTTTGGAACAATCTCTACCCCCTCTTTGGCGATGCCGCTTGTCGTACGAGTCATCTCCATCACTGGAGGGGGGTTGCTCCCACTTGGACAAGGAGCCAAATCAAAGCTGACCCACCTAGAAGAGGCGAGTGCGACCGGTGCTGGCTCTCGCACCGGTTGTTCAACTAAAGGGATCACCTCCAACATGGAAGGAACACTAGTGGGGTCTGGGGCACCCACGGTGGCAGCAACTGTGCCCTCGACTTCGGACAGGACTGGCCCAGGAGAACTAGCCACAGGTCGGGACCCAGGAGACGACCTAGTCAGCCTAGCACTCTTTCGCCTAAGAAGAGGCTCATGCACAGACTCAGATTCTGAAACATCTGAGGTCACTGGTAGCTTTCTTCTTTTTTTTCCTTTTTGAGAAGGTACGACTCTCTCCGAAGCTTGGCCGTATCTGAAGCCGGCATCCAGGGCACCATGGGGGCCACTCCCAATAAGAGTATTAAGATCCTGGATTGGATGTCCCTCTCGGTCGGGAACCTTTCGACCCTGTCTCCATTCGAAGATAGAGCAAAGGTTATCAAAAAGAGTCCTTGTACTCTCCTTAAGGGCAAGCACCTGTGGCGACTCTTCGTCCACCACTATCGCCTGAGGCACTCCGAGCTGCTCCCAATCCTTGGGATACTCCAGCTCGAAGACTTTCCCAAATGCAGGCGGCACAAAATTCTTCCCTTGCTTCGTATCATGACGCCAGCTGTTGTTCTCCCCCTTCCATGAGTGGTCCACCTGCCAATACCAGGTATTGGTGATCCTCCACCAACGCCAATAAGCTTCCGTGGCCCAACCTACTCTACCATAATGAGGGACGACGAACTTGTTCACCTCCGTGAACTCAAGGCATGTCGCCCAAGCTGTGCGCACATGCACGGCCTTCCACGACTCGCGGCAGGTCCCCAAGTCGTCTTTCTTTCTCTTGGAACCTTCCTTGCCATAGCGCTTCTTGAACAACACGGGGAAAGGGCATCCCTGATCTAGCCCATGCTGACGAGCAAACCGATGAGGGTAATAGGCCTCGAGCTTAGAACCGAAAAGGGTCCTGAAGGGAAGGATGCCTCCCCTAACACTTAAAACAAACATAAGCTCAGAGATGCCAATAGAAGCACCGTCCAGCTCATGACTGCAATCGGTACAGCCACCTACAGGGAAAGGGTTGCGGCGCGTGAAGAAGGAATCACCGCCAAATAAACTACGCGCATGCCCAGGAGTATGGAACGTGGCCTTCTGCCCCACTATTTTCACAAGCTGGGGGCACATGCTCCCAGCCAAAGCTGTGTTGGTAGCGTACGTACTTGGAAAGTACGCGGAGAGCCAGCCAAACACATAATGGGCAGGGAACGGCGTCTTGAAATTCCCGGGGAAAGCCTCTCCTCCCTCCAACCCAGGTCCGTCTCCCCCTTTGAAGGGCTTCCCCCTAGAGATCGCCCCTAGACCGTAGTAGATGCTACATAAGACCGGCTGTGCCAGTGCGTACTGGCGCCCACGCGCCATGTCACAAGCCACAAAGAAGCAACCCGGACGAATCAGATCGCTCGAACCGGGAAGGGCGAACTTGCACATGAAGAGGGCCAAATAGGCGGCAAGGTATACGCAGTCCTTTGCGGATCGACGTACATAAATGGCGGGAAAAACCTTCGCCTGTTCCTTCTTGCCACCAAGAACACAGTTCTCAATGGCATCAGGGTGTTCCCCATAGAAGAACCTCACCCAGCGCGAGAAGCTCACTTGACCGTCAATGGTCTGCGAGCTCAAAAGTTGATAGATCTCAAACACCTCCCGGAGGCCAGGAGGAGAGGCTTCTCCCCCAAGTGGAACCCCGCCGAAGATGACCGAGTTATGGGGGACGAACTCATCATACATGGCCCCCACCAGCGGCAGACCCCCAATAAAATGTAGATCTAACAGGGAGATCCCTCCCTCGCCATGACCGAAGAGCCATGTGTTGCTGGCATGACTCCAAATCTCCAAAAGTGCCCTCATGGTGTTTGCACAGCGATCAAAATACCCGGCTGAGCTCTGTACCGCCGTTAATAGAGAAGAAAGCTTGAGAACGTCTTCATAAACAAGAAGAACCTCAAGAGTCCAGGGGGTGTACCCCTTTAAAAACTGGTGCTCTCCCTGCATGCGGAGCCCAGAAGGAGACCAGACCAATCCCCTCGTCTTGGCCATTCGCTTCCCAAGGGTGGGGAGATCCTCGCTGGAAGCCAAGTCACGATGCAGGAAATGGAAGAGGGGGATCCCATCATCTTGCACAGATGACGCCCCGTCATCGCTTTCGCGAACATGAAAGCGAGTGGTCTCGCTGGCAAAAGTTACGCTCAAAGGCCACTCGAGCGCATAAGCAGGTTCTACGAGCCAGATAGGCTCCCCTCGAACTAGACTGACACCTGTAAAGGTGTCGGTCCCAAGTTCACCCAACTTGGGAAGATTCTTTACCATGGGCACATCATCTGCAAAGACACGAGGAAAAGAAAGTCAAAGGCATGCAAGAACTCAATGAAAGGTCAAAAGAAAAGAAGATATAGGGCTTGGCAAAAATTCTACAACATCTCCCCTCTAAACTGGACTTTTGACAAAAAAAGCACCCAAAGAACTCAAGGCACCCCGGAGGATGCCCAAGGAACTGAACTGTGGAATGCACCCGAGCCAGACGAACCGTGGCAGAGCTCCCTTCCAGTCAGGTGAAATCCATGCAAAATATGCAAGAAGTGCCAAAAATGCCTAAAATGCATCAAAAGTGCTTAAAAAGCATTAAAAATTCCCAAAAAGTGTTAAAAGCACTCTAAAAGCATAAAAAATGCTTGAAAGGCATACAAAATGCTCAAAAAGTGCTTAAAACAATTAAAAAGGCATTTAAAATGCTCAAAAGTGCTTAAAATGCTGAAAAGGCACTTTAAATGCCCAAAAAGGCATTTTAATGCTTAAAAAGCATTTAAAATATGCAAGAAATGCCAAAAAATACTTGAGAGGCACCAGGAATGCTATTTAGATACTAAAAGATGCAAGGAAATGCAAAAATGATTGAAGTTCACAAAAGAAAGGCCGAAGTGCTAAACAACATTTAAATATGCTAAAGAGGGCACTTAAGAAACATGGAAGGACGAAAGAGCATGCAAAAGTAAGGAGCTCACCAAATTCTCGGGTAGTGAATGCCCCAGCCATCTCGTCCTGCCGTGTGAGAAAGAAGAAGTTGCTTCAAGCCCAAAGGGCCCTGCACCCAACGCGATTAACCCCTCTCAAGAATGCCTAACCCCTCTCCCAAAGAGCCCCTCACGAACTTCTCATAGAAAATGACCCAAAATGGGGCCCCTTTCACCTTTAACTACCCCCTCCAGCAAGCCTTCCCACCATCATCCCTCACAAAAACCATATTCCACCCACATTCATGATGGTTTTTGGGTCATTTGCAAAAAAGAAAGAGGATGTTTTGGGAAAACAGAAAGCAAAAATACCTCACCGCCCTTGGCTCACCTCCTCAAGCCAAAAATGGGTCAAGGGTAAAATGGTCAATAAGGGGTTAATAAGGCATCAGAATCGCGTGAAACCAGCACCAGGACGTGCAGAAAAAGTTGCCGATCAGGGAGGGTCACCTCTGCCATCCAAAATGGGGTTCCGAGTCGAGCCACTACGCCCAAATTGAGCCCTACGAACCCCATTTTCTCTCTCCTTCTCCCCTCACGAGATGGGCCAAGCTGGGCCTCCTACCCCGAGCCCGAGGCCTCGTGCAAGCCACCACCTGCTGTTGTCCCTTCGTCACTCGATGGGCCGGGCTGGGCCATGAATCCAAGCCCGAGCTCGAAGCCCATCGCAGCCGTCGTCCGTGCACCCCCTCGCCATGCAGCTGAGCCGGGCTGGGCCATGAGCCCAAGCCCTAGCTCGAGGCCCTTCGTAGCCGTCGCATGCACTCTTCTCGCGCACGCACGTGTCCCCTGCAGCCGTCGCCTGCTGCCATCCCTTCGCCACATAGTGGGCCGGGCTAGGCCTCCTGCCCCTAGCCCGAGACTGGGACTTCCACTCCTCTCCGGCGTGTGCCTCCACATGCGTGCCACCCTTCGCCACAATGGGTTGGGTTGGGCCTCATGCTCGAGCTTGAGCCCGGAACTCCTTCTCTCCTTCGTGCGCGCGTGGGTGCGCGCCTCTCACCCTCCATCCACGTGCTGGGTTGGGCCCTCTGACTTGTGCCCAAGCCTGAGCTTTCTCTCTCTCTCACACCCTCTCTTGCGTGCGCTCCTCTCACACAGACGTGTTTTACTCTCTCCCTCCTTGCACACACACGTGCGCCCCACTTTCGCACACGTGCTCTCACCTCCTCTTACCCGCGCTCGCATGCACACCATTCTCTCACACACTTTTATCTCTCTTTCTCACAAGCATGCATACGCTCCATTTCCGCACGCGTGCTCTCACCTCTCACAAGCAAGTCTACGCGTGCATCCCCGTTCACACGTATCGAAACCTCTCTCTTCTCCCCTAATTCCTCTTCTTCTGGCCTCTTCGCACCCGCATGCCTGCTCTCGCTCGGGCATGTGGCTCTCCTATTCCGCACTCGCGCAGTTTTCCTTTCCTTTGTTGTGACATTTATGTCCACCTAAACCATTCACCATCCCCAGTGAGTCGCGTCGTTCATACCTCCGCCTCCAACGAGTCGGACCATTTCACGCTCACTCCATCAATCTCACAATAACTCACCCCTTCCTTTGTTGTGACATTTATGTCCACCTCAACCATTCACCATCCCCAATGAGTCGCATCATTCATACCTTCCTCCTCCAGCGAGTCAGACCATTTCACGCTCACTCCATCCATCTCACAACAAGTCACCCCATTCCCCAATGAGTCCCACTCTCCATTACCTGATAGGTCGGACCACCCCAAACCTATCTTCCACCTCCGCACCCACCATCAAGCCACTCCAACTACCCATCTTCCCTTGTAAAACCATTGTTCACCCACCATCAAAAGAGTCTCGTGTCATTTAAATCTGAACCTAGACTCATTTCTCACATATATTTGTCTAAGAGTGACGGCCAATGCTTGTCATGGCTTAAGCCGAAAGTCTGACCTTAGACACATTTTTCATATATGGCCTAAGGCTCTGACCTATGGCCTATGCCTTTCATGCCTTAAGCCGAAGGTTCAACTTTAGACTCACATCTCTCATGTATGGCCTATGGCTCTGACCAATGGTCTATGCCTGTTATGGCTTAAGTTGAAGTTTCGACCGTAGACTCATATCTCTCATGTATGGCCTACGGTTCTGACCAACGACCTATGCTTGTCATGGCTTAAGTCGAAGGTTCGACCTTAGACTCATATCTTTCATATATAACCTAAGGCTCTGACTAACGGCTAATGCATGTCATGGCTTAAGTCGAACATTCGACTTTAGACTCATATCTCACATATATAGCCTAAGGTTTTGACAGTCAGCCGATACCTCTCATGGCTTAAGTCGAAGGTTTAATGTTATGCTCATATCTCTTATGTATGGCCTAAGGCTCTAACCAAGCCTATGCCTGTCATCGCTGAAGTTGACGGTCGACCATAGACTCATATCTCTCATGTATGGCTAAAGGCTCTGACCAACGGCTGATGTTTCTCATGGGTTAAGTCAAAGGTTCATCCTTAGACTCATATGTCTCATATATAGCCTAAAGTTCTGACCAACGGTCAATGCCTATTATGGCTTAAGTCAAAGGTTCGACCTTAAGATTCATTCTTTCATGTATAGCTAAGGCTCTGACCGACGGCTTATGCATGTCATGGCTTAAGTCGAAGGTTCGACCTTAGACTCATACCTCAGATGTATAGCCTAAGCTTCTGACAAAGAATGGCCGAAATCCAAGATCTAAGATTACACATTTCTCATATTTTGACGAATGTTGCCGAGAGTTCAATACCTTGATTAGAGGGTCAAAAGATATATCAAAATGATCGCCTCGCCAAGACCATCGCGTTCACGGCATTCTTTTCATCGGAATGTCGTCGGAAAGACTCGAAACAAACCTCAAAAGATTGTCATGATTCGTGGTCACTTTTTGGGGACCATCTTGTCATTTGGAAGATTGTGGGTAGGGGCAAAATGGTCATTTTGCCCCAAAAACGGGATTCCAATTTAATTAAAAATATATATATTTTCCAGCAATTTCCTTTAGTTTTGAGCAGCCACCCTTGTTTGAAGGGGAGCTCTATATAAGCATATGTAACCCTAAAGTTCAAGGAGAAAAATTAATAAGATTTGCCCCTTAAGCTTAAGGTTTACACTTTGAGTTTCCCTTGGTGTGCAATACTTTTTCCTACCCCTTTCCATTCAAAGAGAGGAGGGAGAAAACTTTCCCCATAAGCCACTACCCTTGGAACTTCTCACTCCTCACTTGGAATCTCTCACTTAGAACTCTCCTCTCTCGACCTAGCCGCCGATCCGGCCCAAGGACTCGAGTAGGTAACATCTCTTTCTTTCTCTCTCCTCTCTTCACTTCTCTTTCTCTCTTCTCTCCTCACTTCTCTTTCTCTCCCTTTTCTCTCTCCCCTCAGTCTTTCTCTCTCCCATATGGCCAACCGGGCTTCTCTACCCCTCTTTCTCTCTCTCTTCCTTTTTCTCTGCTTTCCCCCCTCTCTTTCTCTCTCTTCCTTTTTCCCTTCTCTCTCTCCCCTCTCTTCTCTCCTCTCTCTCCTCTCTCTTCTCTCTTCATTTCTCTCTCTCTCTCTCATCTCTTCTCTTCCTCTCTCTTCTCTCTCTCTGTTCTTCCCTCTTCTCTCTCTTGTTCCCTCTCTCCTCTTCTCCTTCTCTCTTTCTCTTTCTCTCAACAAGTCAGACCAGCGACTAAGCCGCCAGCCCAATCTCTCCTTTTTTCTTCTTCTTCTCTCTCTCTCTCTCTCTTTCTTCTCTTCCTTCTTCCCCCTTTCTCTTTCTCACAAACAACCAGACCAGTGGCGAAGCTGCCGACTTTGTCTCTGTCTTTCTCTCTTCTTCTCTCTCCCTCTTCTTCCTCTTCTCCTTCTTCTTCTCCATTTTTCTTCTTTTCCTTCTCTCTCGCACAGACAGTCGGACCGACGGCTAAGCCGCCGGCCCAACCTCTCTCTTTCTTTCTCCTCCTTTTCTCTCTCTTTTCTCCTCTCTCCCTTCTTCTTCTCTCTCTCTCCCTTCTCTTCCTTCTTTCATCTCTCTTTCTCACGATCAGCCGGACCCGCAGCTAAGCCGCCGGCCCAGTCTCTCCCTTCTCTTCCTTCTTTCCTCTCTCTTTCTCACCATTAGCCGGACCAACAACTAAGTTGCCGACTCAATCTCTCCCTTTCTCTCTTCCCCTTCTCTCTCTCTCTTCTTCCTCTTATTCTTCTCTCCCTCTTTCTTCTTCTCCTTCTCTCTCTCACTCTTGCATAGTCAACCGGACCGACAACTAAGCCGCTGGCCTAATCTCCCTCCCTCCCTCTTCTTCTTCTTCCCTCTCTTTCTTCTTCTCCTTCTCTCTCTTCTCCTCCTCTCTCTCTTTCTTCTTCTCCTCTCTTTCACTCTCTTACTTTCACACAGTCAATCGGACCAACAACTAAGCCGCCAACCTAACCTCTCTTTCTCTCTCCTCTCTCTTTTCTCTTTTTCCTTCTCTCTCTTTCTCTCTTCTTTCTCTCCTCTCTCTCTTCTGTTCCTTCTTTCCACTCTCTCTTTCTCACCGACGGCTAACCGCCAACCCAATCTCTCTCGTTCTCTCTTCCCCTTCTCTCTCTTTGTTCTTACTCTTCTTCTCCTCCTCCTGTCTCACTGTTGCACATTCAACCGGACCGGCAGCTAAGCCCAATCTCCCCCCCTCTCGCTTCTCCTCTCTTACTCTTAGTCGGATCGACGGCTAAGCCTCCGATCCAACCTCTCTTTCTCTCTCCTCTCTTTCTCTCTTCTTCTCTCTCTCTCTCTCTCCTCTCTCTCTCTCTCTTCTCTTCCTTCTTTCCTCTCTCACGATCAGCCAGATTGATGGCTAAGCAGCCAGCCCAATCTCTCTCCTCTCTTCCTTCTTTCCTCTCCCTCTTTCTCATAATCAACCAGACCGACGGCTAAGCCGACGGCCCAGTCTCTCTCTTTCTCTCTTCTTCTCCTCTCTCCCTCGTCCCTACCTCTTCTCTCTCTTCTTCTTCCCTCTCTTCCTCTCTCTCTTCTTCTATTTCCTCTCTCCCTCTGTCTCTCTCATCTTCTTCTCCTTTCTCTCTCCCTCTCCCTCTTCTCTTTCTCTTTCCCTCTCCCACTCCTCTCTCCTTCTTCCTCTCTTTCTCTCTTCTTCTTCTCTCTCTATCTCTCTTGTCTTCATCTTTCTCGCTCCCTCTCCCTCTCTCCTATGCTCCTTCTTCACTCCTTTCTCTTCTCTCTCTCCCCCACTTCCTCTTTTCTCTCTCTTTCTTTTCTCATTCTCTCTCTCCCCCTCATCTTCTTCTTTCTCTCTCCCTTTCCCTCTCTCCTATGCTTCCTCTTCTCCCTCTCTCTTTCTCTTGTCTTCTTCTCCTTCTTTCTCTCTCCCTCTCCCTCTCCCTCTCTCCTATGCTTTTTCTTCTCCCTCTCTTTTTCTCTCCCACTTCCTCTCCCCTCTCTCTTCTTCTCTCTCTCCCTCTCGTCTTCTTCTTCCTCTCCCTCTATCTCTCTCGTCTTCTTCCTCTTCCTCTCCCTCTCCCTCTCTCTCATCTTCTTCTTCTTCTTTCCCTCTCTTCTTCTCTCTTTTTCTCTCCCACTCCCTCTCTCTTCTTCTCTTTCTTCTTCTCTCTCTTTCTCTCTTTTTCTTCTCTCTCTATCTCTCTTGTCTTCTCTCTCCCTCTCTTTCTTCTATGCTCCTCTCTCGCACTTCTTCTCTCTCTCTCTCTCCCACTTCTACTCTTTCTCTTTCTTCTCCTCTCTTTCTCTACTCCACTTTTCTCTCCCTCTCTTTCCCTCTCTCTTCACTCTCTTTTCTTTCTTCTCTCTCTTCTTCTCCTTTCTCTCATCCTTCGTACCTCCCTTCCTTTCTCTCTCTTTCCTCTTCTTTCCTCACCCTTCTTTCTATTCTATTCACCCCCATGCTATACCCCTCACCCCAATTGTTCTATTGTTTATTCTTGCTTCCCTTCCTTTCTTTTATAAACACAAGTCAGGGTCTCTCAACCTACTTGTCTGGCAATCTTACGTAGTGTGTCTACAAGTTGCAGAGTGCAATTGAGGAGGTTAAAGCCGAACCAGCCTCAGGCTAGGGGGCTTCTTCGTGATATAAAAGGGCGCCCAAGCGAAACGCCCGAGCGTGTCACGGACCCATCATGAGGTAAATCTCACCTCACACCACAATCCTCTCTCACTAGTTAGTACCCTGCCTGCACACGCGCCAAGGGCGCCGCGGTCCCGAGAGGGCGATCTCGAGCTAGAACCCAAATCCAATGTTCACGAGCGATCTCACGACCCAACGAGATCGAGGCACACAACCATTCATCAAATATGTGATTATCATCATGATCACCGTGAGAGCGATCAAATTTGAACAAAGCTACATAGTTATCGTCTGAAGCTAAATCGTGAAGGATAAGTGCATGTGGTCAACAAGCAGATAGGTACCGCAAGCTCGTGTAATCATGAACTAGTGGAAGATTATATAAACCTCGTCTCTTGATGAGGAGGGAGTTCAATCATTAATTTCCAATCAAAGAGACACTGAGAGATACACTCTATTCTATGTGATATTCGCATGATAAAGAGAACGTAGAGTGATATACTTACTGTTAGTTAAAAAGCAGCTCATTGATATTGTTGTTGTGTTCTGAATTACAGTGCAAGAATCTGATAGAGAGAGAAGCTATTAAAATTTAAACTCACTAATTGAAAAAGGAGCAGATCACACCTACGAATAGTCAAGTATACGAGCTCATATCGTCATTGGTATTGATTTATTTCTTGTGTCTGTATATTTTCTTTCTTAAAATAGTATGTATAGACTTCAAGGTCAGAATCGATGGTATTCGGCCTAGCTTTTACGCTGATGTAAATTGTAACAGAGGTTTAAGCTTCTGGAACTTTTCCATTCCCAATATAAAACTTGTCTCTATGATATGGAATACATGGGCGAATTTGGCCCTGAATGTGTCTACCCTCTAGTTGTTCATTTGGAGTCATAATTTTTTACACATTTTTAGTTAATACGGCACATTTTTTAGAGCGACCAATCCCTAATCCGTAATAATTAAAAAGTCCTAGTATAATATGATCCATATGATCATGGTAACACTACATTCAACCAGCCAACGGTTGAATAGTGATGGATGGAGTTTAAATCATACAAATGAATTTTTTAGGCTACTCCCTACTAATTAAAAAGTTATAGTATAGTATGATCCATAAGATCATAGTAACGCTACATTCATAAAAGTCATCAGCATCCAGCCAATGGTTGAATGGTGATAGATGGAGACTAGAACATACAAATGAATAATGAGAAGTTTGGTGGAACTCAATATTTTAGGTTACTCCCTAATAATTAAAAAGTTATAATATGGTATGATCCATATGATCATGGTAACGCAACGTTCATAAGAGTCATCAGCATCCAACCAATGGTTGAATGGAGATTAGATCATACAAATGAATAATGAGAAGTTTTGTGGAACTCAATTTGTTTCATTCAACTTCCAACCTATTCATGAGGCGGTGATGGCTCCTATGAGGCTATGATCATGTCTTAAGATGCCCATATGGATCATACTATACTTTGTGAATGATAAAATGAAAAGTGAGGAAACTCACTTGCTATCTGACTCCTCTTATCCCGAACTTTCATAGCCGACACCTCAGCTCGTGCTGCTTCTTTCTGAAAGTGTGCATCCTTAGCTTCAGCATGTGCCTTCAACACCTCTGCTTGTGTCGACTTGGCGTCGGCTTGTGCCCTCAGGCATAGCTCCTTGACCTCAGCTTGTGCCCTTGATGCATTTGCATGCTCCTCCTCTTTTGGAGGGTGCGCCTCCTCTAAACTTCGGCGCAAAAATGCAATTTGGTCTTGAGCTTCATACAAGGCTGCATTCTTCTGCAAAGCCCCCTTTGAGGCCCTCTCTATAATCCTCATTGCCATAACATCCAAGGCCTCATCAACCATTTTATCAACCTCTACCATGGAAGCAAAGGAGTCATCATTCATTGCAGCCCATTCTGGTGATGCAGGGAAGGCCACTTTCCTCTTTGATTTCCTTGTCTCCCATGTTGTCTCCAAATCTACTTCATGCCTCTCCTTCCTAATAGAAGACTTTTTAGTTGTCACCCTCTCACTTAAAGCACATATATCGTCATTCAAATGATGAATGATCATGCTTAAATCAGAGTCCATGGGTTCATTTGAACCAACCCCATGAACTACATGTTCTGGATTCTGCAAATCATGTAGTGTTATGAGTTATCACAAGAGAGAGTAAATCCTTAGCTTCATCATATCTAGCTTAAGTCAATTAAAATGAAGCTATGTATTTGCCAAAAAGACAACACCAAATACTAATATAAAAGGGGATTCTACCAAGAGCAAACTTGTAAATATTAGATACTAATAAACATAAATAATCAAAATAAAGCAAATGAAATAAGAAAAACAAAATGCAGTAATGAAAATAACACAGAGCAAAAGAATGGAGGACATAAATAACCAACCTGAGGCGGCTCCGGTTCCCCAGGCCCCTTAATGGCCACTCTTTCACCTGAGCAAATTGCACTTTGATTTGGTTGTCCTTGCAAAGCATCTCTTACCAAACCCTGTGAACCATGTGAATAACCCTAAAACCATTCAGAAATCAGTTTGTCTATATGAAAACTGTTTTCAACTTTTCATGACTAAATAATGAACAAAATAAGGAAATAAATGGATTTCATGAAAATGCATCAACACCCAAAGAAAAACATGGAAGTGTCTGTTGATTGTATTACTGATTCTTCTTTGGTTTCACACAAAGAATATCCTCAAAAACCAATTTCGTAGCTACTGACACGAACAAAAATGAATTCTCTAACAGTACTGCAGCCAAACTACCAAGGAACTGACCACGCGACAAAATCTACTGCACGATAACCAAATTATGGTTTATCTAAATAATAATTAAGATGGATTTCATTATTTTTTACAATAAATTATTAAACCAAAATCATGGTTAAAGGGAAGTGCAGATAACAAAAGTAAAAAACAAGCCACCATTTACAAGGAAAGAGAAAGAAATACAAAACTCATCATTCACCGAACTAAAACCCCATATTCATTTTAGTTTTCAGTGGCTATGAAATTGCACAATGCTAGTAAAAATTAAAATGAAAACAAACATAAATAAACATTAAAAACCTTCTGTATCCACAGAACTCAGTTGAAGTTACAAAGGAACACAGCTACTGCAACAAATTACAAAACAAGAAAACGAATAAAACAATGGAAAGAAAATGCTTCAAAATAAATAAATAACTAAGGCGTTCTTTTTAAAATGTAATTTCTTATTATAGAAAGAGGCAGAGCATACAGACAAAATTTATTGGCCATTTTAGCAAAAAAGCCCATGGAAAAAAGATAATGGAACTTTCAATAGCATATAGAACACCCAATAAAACAGAAGATAAAAAACCTGGTTTTTATTGCTGCTATCTTTAAGCAATGTGTACTTCAAAGAATCTGGAGATTTAGGGCTTCCATAGCTCTCTCGGTTCTTCTTATTTTCATCTCCATTACCCATATCTACTACCCGTCTCAAACCATAGATTTTGAACTGACTCCGATATTTTAAAAATTAGACACGATTCATGGTCGAAGTTAGCTTCGTCTCTGTCATTGAAACCCTGGTTTCATAAACCGATATCCGCCATCTTCTTTGAATCGAGCTCTATGATATACTTTCAGGAAAGTTAAGGTAATGACCGTCGTTAAACCAAAAAACAGGCCACATATATTACATGTGTCAGAGGGAACCATTACTCGTACTCGTGGCCATTTTCTGATTGAGTGTTAAAACATGCGAACTTAGAGAAGTATGTATGTAAATATATCCACACTTTCTATGTAAATATAAACATATTAAAACGGGCCAAGTGGAGTTGTCTGTCGGTGAGATCGTGGATATCTACGAAGCAACGAGCTTCACTCTAAAAATAAAAAAATGCTTTATGTGGGGATTTAAAAAAAATTAAATTAAATATGAAATGCTTTGAAATATATTACAAAAGAAAGTCACCCAACTCACTTTTTTTTAATTTTTCCAAAATTGTTCCTCAGCAGGATGAATCCTAAATTCAAATTTAATTTCTTTTGTTTAGTTTTTTCGTTATTGGGGCATTGCTTCACATCCTAGGACAATGCCCCAAACTAAAAAAAATTAAAATTCACTATGAAGATGTTCTCGCATCGAAAGGTAATTTTAAAAAAAATAACTGATTGATCGACTTTTTTTTGTAATTTTCACTTAAAGATAGGACATTATGCATTTAAAACTAAATAAAAATAAAATAAGTACATAAATCACTCAAAATAAAAAATTTACACCCTATTATACCGTCCCACCATCACTCTCCATTTTTTACTCTTTTTCTCTCCATCTTTGACTTTTCCTACTTAAGCCGGCTACATGTCGGACTAGTCCGGCCTTAGCCCTATCCAGGCTTGGCCAGGCCAAAATAAATAAAACAAAATAAAAATTAAATTAATAAAGAAAAAAAAGGTCGGTGCCAAGCCAAATCAAGCCAACTTTTCCTTGGCTCTGCCCTTGGGCCATGGTTGCCCAATCTTTAGGCCACATTTTGTGGTCCAGACCCTAAGTTTTTGGGCCGGAACGGGCCACCCAGCCATTGCTCCCCTTGCTTCATCTCTCCCCTAAAATCTCTATCCCTTCTTCTTTCGTCTCATCTCTCCTTCCCATTGTGCTTATTTCGCTCTACTTAAATTTTTCTCTTTTATATATCTCTCTTCATTTCCACGTGTCTTCTAACATATCACCCTCCTCACTTCTCACTTATCTCTTTCTTTAAATCTCTCTTAAAACATTTTTCTATTCTTTGTTTGGAAAAAAGGTTGGGAAGCCCTTCACACCTTAGTAGCCACGTTGTGATTTTCATTCTCACTGACATCATCCAACTAAACCTTCCAATAAAACAAACTTTTGTCTTCTGCATTAAATTATCTAAACAAAAAATATTCATTCGAAGAAAAAGAAAAAACTCAGGAGGTTTGATGAAAATGAGAGAATCATTGACAGGGTCGATCAAGATGGCAAGCTTGAAAAAGGAAAAAGTCAAGAGGTTTGATGAGAATGAGAGGATCATTGACATGGTCGATCAAGATGGCAAGCTTTAGGGACTTGTTACTTTTCTGATTTACCCTAGAGGTAGTAAACTTCATCCTGAGCTATCGGCTTTGCTCCTCTATCAAGCGAACCTACAAAATTTTTATAATAATTTCAAACTAATAATGCCCCAGACCATTGAATAATCAAATAATACACATGTTCGGAGGAGTTGTGATTTTTAAAATTGTATCATGATGAATTTTTTTGCCAAATCTTTTATCCAGTGCGTCACACGATACAACATGAGCACACATTGAGCCACTCTCAACCTCAAATGATCAAAAACCACTCTAGAGTGATGATAATGTGAATATTAATTCTGAAATGCAGCAATTGTTGGGTATGTGTGGCCATTAAAGACCTTGTAAGTGCTTGTAAATAAATTATATGGTAGAACATGAACTCGGTGGAAGTGTGGCCCCGTGTGGACCATACTAAGCAAACGATGTTTGCTGATATTGGACCGTGCTTAACGTTATGGGCCAATCTGGTTGGGGAAAACATGTTACCTGGGCATAAAGAGACAAACCGATAAGGGTTAGATGGGTCATCCTTTGATGAGGTCGGAGTATGCTCGGAATAGTAAATCGAGGGACTGTGTGACCCTTGTGTGTGATGGAAGCTTTTAGAGATATGGCCAGAGCCTCATCCACGTACCATCAAATGGCATGCACATTGAAAGCCGTTTTCGAGAAAGCGAATCACCTTTCAAGGTGAAGAGTGTGCATATGGTAACCCCTTATGTACCATCGAGTAATGGATTGCATCAGGTCGGGATGACCTTGGTTTCATCTCCGGGGGAACCTGAAATCTATAGACAGGGACTGCGACCCCTTGCTCATTGGCTAGATTTTGGTGACCCCCTATATGGACATTTAATCCCCTGTATGGACATTTATTCCTAGACTATATGAATCATTTTCTCATCAAACTATTTAATTTTGTCTATTTTAACAATATATAATTTTTAGAATTGTTATTTGAATTTTTTTAAATCTCTAGATATTTTATTTATCAAATTTGAATTTATAAAAATATAGACATTGATTTTATATTGATTCAAATATTCAAATAATGATTTTATGTTTTTCTATAAATAAAAAATAGTATAATTGTATGGGAGGCCCAATAAGACTTTTGGGCCCACCATAGCAAATCTAGATGGCTCTCTAAGTTTGTTGGTTAAGCTCTAAAACTTGAAGGAAAAGAATATGTCGTTTAGAAAGTTTAAGCCTTGACGAAAATTTGAATAAAATTTTTTATATGCACGAGAAGGCTTATGCATGAAATAAAAAAGGATAATATTATCTTATATTAATTTTTTGTTTGAATTAATTGATGGGAAAATAGTTTAGGAAGTGAGGGATAATGGTTTTGGCACCTTCCATAAAGATATTGATGGCCTATTTATGAAATAGACGGCTCATATCTCTCAACCCACAAATCATTAAAGATCAATAGGTGGTAGGCCAAAAAAAACATTAAGAAACTCTAAATTTATTCAAGCATTATAAAAAAGGGAGTACCCTACCCAAATATCTACAACCTTGAAACTTTCTATCGCTTTCCCTAATCCATATAGGGACACGCCCCACTCTAGAAACTCTCTTATCTTGGAAACTCTCTCTCCTCTCAAATAAACCCTAAGGGGGCCACGCCCCACTCTCTCTCTCATGGTGGTTGTCTCATCTCTTCCATCTCTCATCTCACATTGGGTGCTTGGTGTTTAGGATTTGATAAAAAGGGCAGCTATCTCTCAAACTAAGTTATCAAAAGGGTTCACCTAAGGTTTGAGTTTGTGATCAAGTGGTTCAGATCCTATTTGTGTGGCCTGTTCCAAACTTACTCTTTCTCGATTGAGATTGAAGGTCAACCATTAGATCCTACTCCATCAAAAGGTGGTAACTCGGTGTAAGGTATAAAACGCTCGGTTAAAGTAATCTCCGGCATCCTATTTTGTTTCTTGCTTATTTGTTTATTGCCTTCTTCATTCCCAAGCATAGGTTGTCTTTCATTTGCTAATGAAAAGTGAGGTTTTGAATAGCTTCAAGTTTTTTAGATCTTATTGTATTCCTTTCTTTTATTTTATTTGAAGTTATTATATTGTAAAAATACTACTTGTAAGTGATATGGTATGTAAAGAAAAGAAAAAGAACTGAAAAAAAAAAATAAATAATTATATACTCCAGTTAGATCACATGAGTCCTTCTTTCAAAAACCACCCCACGATGGGGATCATATTGGTCATATGGTCAACAAGGTCCACAAGGATTATTCTCAATTCACAAAATCAGTGTTCAAAACTTGGGTTGACTACTCGGCCCATGCCCCCGTCGCCCGAGTCCGAATTAAGAGGGCCGAGCACTGTAATCGCTGAAAAATATTAAAAAAATAAAAAATCCAAAACAAAGAAAAAATACATTCAAAGCAAAATTTAACAAAACATAACTAATTATGGTTAAAAAAATTTGCAAAAAAATAGACTTTAAAAACTGAGTTTGTGATCGAGGGCATATCCAAAATTTTCTAAAAAATATGAAAAAATGTAAACATGAGTATTACTGGCCAAAATCCTTTCCAATCTTTACCAAAATGATAGAAAACATAAATACATATATTACGAATATATTTTTATTTATTTTAAAAAATCTTGATAATTTTTTTAAAAAAATTTAAAGATCCCCAAGTTAGACCAACTCGAGCTTGGCAAGGGCCCGAGACTGTGTATCTTGGCTGATTTTTTAACACTGCACAATATGACAAATGACCAGTTCGTCAAGCAGCTTTATCCCATGGAGACAATTAATTGTTATTATTATTATTATTATTTTCCCGTAGAGTCAATTACAGGACTCTATAGTCCATAATGTCTATCTTGAGACCATTGAGGGATAGAGTAATATGTTCAAATCCATAATTGAAGGGACATGATAATAGACAGGTACTCTAAAGCCTAGGTTTTTAAAGACTCGGTCTTTTTAAAATCCTTTCTATATTCTCCTTCCTCTCCATCAAGTACTCCAAATTTTTCGCAGATGGTATTCCAAGACATACGAACAAGGATTCAAGGATAAATTATGACATCATTTCATACTTTTAGGTCAAATCTAATTTGAGATGCATAAATTGCTAAGATAAACGTGTCCTACACCTATCCATAGGAAACATGTCCTAAGGCTACTCATTTCGAGTGGTTTCATACCATCAGGTGGTGCCATGGGAATCTAGTGTAAGGGTGGCAATAGGCTGGGTTGCCAATTCATGGTTCATTTAAACCCTCGGGTGTAGAACCTATTGAAACTTATATGTTGTTTCATTATAAAATTTAAAGGGGCACATAAGTTGGATTGCATTGACGTTAAAAAATAGAAAACTTAAGTTGGATTGCCTTGACGTTAAAAAATTTATTGCGGTTTTGCTGGAATATATATATATATATATATATATTAGTTT